CTACACGCAATTTTAATGCCACCCGAGAGATTCGCTGGTCGTTATTCGTGCGATAGTCGTTCAGTCTGACGCGTCCACGATTATTCCCATAAGAGGAGGTTGGACTGTATATGTATCTATATATACTTTATTATATTAATATATAGTATACATATATACATATATATAGCGCAAAGCAGTTTCCCTCGATAGAATTAGTACCGATTAGAAATTTTCGTAGAAACGGGATTTTTGACGAGGCTAATCGATTTTATTTGTTTTCTCCAGTAGCAAACTTGGGGAAGAAAAAAGAATCAATGGGAGAGAATGGGACGCGGTGAGTGAAGGCAGAAAAAAAGAGGAAAAAAAAATAACACGAGGACTCCCCATCGCCGTTTTAAATATCTCCTCCCACTCGAGTGGGGGGTGAACGAAGGAACGTTCAGTCTTGGAAAATGAAGTTGCTGCCTTGACCCTTTTAGTGCCGGGCGAAAAACCGGTGCCTATGCGAGAATAACCGGACGAGTTTGACGAATTTTACAACGGGTTGGAAAAAAGGTCATAAGAGACCAAACTAAAAATGATAATTACATAATTCAAAAAACAACGTATTACGGAAGGAAGTGAGAATAATGTAATGCTAATTGTATTTCAACATTTATTTTGAGATAGAGCTTTCTCGCGATGCGAATAATAAGGTGCCGTCGCATACGCAACGATATATCGTCGTCCGGCACTTTTCGCAAGTGTAGCGAACGACGATATATCGTTGTCCGGCACGAAAGGGTTAACGGTGGATAATAAAGGCGCGAATGCGTTTCGCGGGAAGACGACAGTTTTACTCGGTAGAGGGCTACGTGGAAAAAGTCGACTCGACTACTGAGGCATACGCATACTATACGTATATGCAAATACAATACAGTACGGAAAAATTTAAATTATTTTACAAATCAAATTTTATTGCAATATATTGAAATACAAGTGAATCTACTACCTTTCTCTCTCTCGTGTTTCCTCTTTAAGATGCACGGACTGACTCACTCAGATACCCAGCATTATTCGTAAAAATTCACAAGACGATAAATGTTGACGGCATTATGCCAGATAAGAGGCAGGAGGAGCAGAAGGGGCGGGAAACCTCAATCTTCCTTAAAATGCAATTCTCCTCCTGGGAATAAACGTCGAGCAATGAATGACGTTTCTCTCCTCCCTTCGTCACCCATGTCGTCATTTGTAAGTTAACGGGAGCCATTTAAAAGGCTCTTATCATATACTTTTCATACACCACGTGTATATATATATTTATATATATATATATATATATATATATATATATATATATATATATATGCCTGAGAACGATATTCTTCTGCTAGAGCTTCACTAAAACATTTTTTTTTTAATGCAGTTACCATCGTACACGAAATACCAACTTTTCCAATTAAAGATAATGCAGTTTACAATGCGTTTCTGTGTATACCTATATATCGCAGTAGCTGCATACAGACTGCAGTTATCCAATAGAAATGCATTCGATCAAAAAAACCGGTCCATCGATCTACGACAATGATGTAAAAATGACAAATTAAGGGGGAAAAAAAAAAGAGTAAGATCAATTATACACTATGAATAATAATTTCTGTAAACAAAGTTCAAAAATAATATATATGCCGTATAAGGGCATATAAGTTAACGGAATAGAGATTAATTTGCAATTAAGTTTTCCAGAGTGACGTAATCTTGCGATCGCGTCAGTAGAATTTTTCGTTATCATTGTAAATCGATGTTGTTTATACTACATCGAATCTTGGCAATCAAAACAACTGATAACGAGCGAGATGAATTTCGGCAGAAATTAAAAAGAAAGATCTATCTTATGAAAAATGTTATCAGTCTTATTTTTGTTACGCTGCCAGGCTAAAAAATTGCGATATCATAACCTGACAACGAAGACGATACCGTGGATTATTTTTTTTTGGTCGCTATCGTGAAATCAAAGAGAGGGTAGCTGACCCACAGAAGATGCAGGAGATAACACAAGAGATGTATACAAAGATAAAATATATTTTAAGAAAAATAAATTTTTTCGAATCGATGCGAAAATTGCAGCCACTGAGAAGATAAAAGTTCATTTCGAAAATTGTACACCTCGTTGATGGAAAAAGTCGCTAGAAAAATTGTGATCGTGGCGAAAGATCCGGGGAAAACATTAGTGAACGCAGAAGTAACTAGAATTGAAAATTCTAGGGAAAATTAAAAATAAAATTCATTGTTAAAAAAGTATTATTATATTCAAGCCAATACTTTTGACCAGCAGTGTATACGTACATATGCATACATTGAACGAAATTTTTTTTTCTCCTATAATCCATAATGCTCTAGCACGTCACTGCATCGGTCGAACTGATTAATTGACGATTAATCATCAGAAACAAGAATCAAACTTAATTATATAATATTTATCAACCCCGCGTTATCGTTATCCGTCCTGATAAATTTTAAAAGTGAATCGCCAACGAGGACTCGATATATCAATCGGGAAAATTGAATCTAGTATCCTTCAGGTGATTAACCGCAAAGCGGTCCCTTGCACTTCAGGCCTAATTGACTAGGCAAATGAACGAGGCACTGTGGGGGCTAATGTGCATTGGCCAATTTCGTCGTTATCGACCGATCGGTAGGTCGGTTTAATCATAAGCGAATTATAACAGAGAATTGGCAACCTTGGAACTAAATAGAGTCGCGAACGAAAATGCTTTTATGGGCAGGTGATAAAATTTACGCGTATACTGCGATTAGGAAAAATTAATTATTTTCTATTTAAATCCTGACAACGTCGAGACGGTCATACGTTATCAGTAAGGCTTCACGATACCGGGTTTTATTAACAATTAAGAATGGACTTGTTAGGCTGTTAGGTAATTAAAAAAAAAAAAATCCAAAAAATGTAACATTTATAAGTGATGACTTATATCTTGAAGAATGTTTGGGTAATTGGTAATAGCGATTGATTTATTACAAAACGAAAATAAAGTCGATTTATCGAATCACTTGGGAGCGATTAAGGCCTAATATGAGTCGATCGTCTAAAAGTTTAAAGTTGTTAGGTGACTATGGAATCTCGTAAGATGGCAAACTTTCCTACTAATTTAAGAAAAATTGACTTTCCGCGTGGCAATAATTTCCTAAACTTCGTCCTAGCCGGATTACAGCCGTTTTTGCTAATTAAACAGAGATCACTTCCGAAAATCACAAGAATCCTTCCTCCGTCCCGTCCCCTGGCACCCCCCTTCGCGGCTACACTAGAAAACGACCATTAACTTTTCTACGCCCGGAGACTCAGATCCTTTTACTCACTTCTCTCCCTTGAGTAATTTCGCGAATAGTTCCCGTGACGAAATGGCATCCACGTTCCGTGAAAGAGATTAGGATCCCGAAAAGAGTATAAACGAAATTTATGGGTCGGAGGTCCGGCGATAGAACGATCAGAAATAAATCGAGTCAGATCCGTCGAGAGTTTTACAGTCGGAATGGTCGGCAGTTTTTTTTCTTTTTTTTTTTTAATATTACACAACGTACAGTACATAGAACATTTGGTAGGCAAAAAATTATAAGATAAAATCCAAAAGATTCAAGAAAAAAAAATTCAAATTTTGAATTAAAACAAATATTTCTATGTGCTTAACCCCTTGCTTTACCAAATACTTCAATCCCCAAGTCCACTGATCGTCGTATACCAGATATAAGTAAATAATGCGGAAGCAACATTGAACTCAAGAAAATTAAAAAAAAATGCATCGACGAGTTATCGAATTTTCAAAAAAAAATTAGCCTAATTAGTTGAACATGGTACCGCAGTAACAATGCAGGCGCGTCGGCGAACATACGCGCGAGATATAAAAGGACATTTTTTACAGACGGAAAATTCGAATATACGAAAAAAAAAAAATAATTATCGTTTCGCTCTTTTTTTTGGATTAGAAGCAACCACTGTCGATTTAACTGCTCGAAATTTTTCATTAAATTCCTTTGTCTCCGGTGTATATCGGTGAAAGCAATCGTGCTGACAGGTTCTAAGTGATTGTCCATAAATCATATATTAGTCGATCGATCCTGACCAGGTCGAAAAATTTGTACGTTCGTAGTGGATCAAAGAAATTTCGATACAGTCGTAGAAAAATCCTATGATTTCTGGACTGAAATCACGCCGTGCAATTTAATCCAAATTCGTTTAGCATCCGATAAGACGACTGATAAAATGATTAATAGGGCCATTATTTATCACTTATCACCTGCATTCCAATAACACACGTTGCGCCCCTATCAGTCCGTATAACAAGGTACGTCCATACGTACGTAACGAGGCACGATCGATAGACTGTTCTCTGTGAAAACAAAGGCAAAGACGGGAAAAAGAGAAAAATCGCAAAGAGAAAAGTAACGAGAAAAATATTAAAGGAACAAAACGTCAAACACGCAAACCGACGAGTATTACGACCGTGACGTGAATATTTTCAGATGGAAATTCGTCAATCGCAAAGTTCGATTATAAAGGCGACCTCGTTTACACGTCATTTCCCAAGAGCTCCCGGAGACGTAAGCTCGTAGCTGCGGAATTCGGTAAACGTACATCGAATCCATCATAAGGAATTCCCAGAGACATTCACTATTTCTCATAATCAGTCTCTGCCCATTAAGAATCCTTCCACGTGACGGATGACTTCAAATTTCGCGGGCTTTGACTCCCTTTCAGACCAGTGGCGCCTATAGTGATAGAAACACCCACAGAACTGATCGCAAACTTCCGTCGATCTCACGAATAGCTACAGCGACCCGATATATCAACATCATTGATAACGGGTTGAGAGCTAAAAAAATATATAAAAAAAAACTGACCCCTGGATCCACATATTTTCATATCGTATTTGACCCAAGTAAAATTTTTATCAAACACAACGTGATTCAAATATAACTCAAATATGGCGTTCAACGTGTTGATAAATAGTACAGTGAGCACTCACCTAAACAGAAGAAATCCTAATCCCGTGACGGCAGCACGACGAACGTCGTCGTTGACATCGGATACCTTGATTTAAAAAAAAAAAAGAAAAATTAGTAATTAATAAAAAAAAATTATGTACAATAATTATAAATATTATTCAAAAAATGTTTGAATCAATTCTTGTATATGCTGAAGAAGTCATTACTTACGGCAACGTGAAGCAGCTTCCTTATGGCCTGATTATTTCCGGTACCGCAGTAGGCCATCGCCAAGGTGTACATTCCGCTTCTTCTCAAAATTGGATCCTTGTCGGCGCTCAAGGACGTCACCAGTGGATCGGCTTCCTCAAGACGGCCGTACATGGTGAACGCAATACCAACTGCCAAGCCACGCAGAATCTTTTCATGCTGGGTCTCTTGCGCGTACTGCCGACGGAAGGAAGAAAAATAAATTTAACGCATTTTGGATTTCTTGGGGGGGGGGGTCAAACATTTTTGTACGTCAAACTTTTTATCTACGGTATAAAATAAAAATGGCGGCCTACGATCGTCAGCCTTTGACGATATCCTTCGGGGATTACCGGGGCGATACATTTTACTAGCGACCTTGTTAATAGCCTGTGAACGGGACTTTATATCGGGTTACCCTATATCCTTAAGTCTCGTCTATTCGCTGAATTTCGCAGGACATAAGGGTCATTCCCAATTTACGACGAGACTCACCTTTATTGCACATACCTATATCTGAGCACGTTCATTGGAATCGCGGTGAACGATGATCAGGATCGTCCGTGAGGAATTACCGATAAATATCTAAAGAACCATTACTGGTATGCCGTTTTTCTACGGATGAGGGACGATAAAATAAAGAAAAAAAAAGAAAATTTTTTTTTCTCTGGTAATAATAAATGTAAGATATCAAAATTCTATATTCATCGTTTTTTGTGTTCCCATTTTTCTGTGCAATTGTCCGAAAATCGTGTATCTTGAAGTAGCGAATTTTTTTTAGAACAAAATTTTTTATTCCCATTCTTTTGAATTGGTTCGGTATACGTGACAAGAAAATTGTGTATCTGCGGAAGAGTCGTCAAAGTTTCTTTCTGTCGGATTTAAAAAAAAATCTCATATTCTAAATTCTACGTAGGACAAACACGTAATTAACACATTAAGGACCGCAAAGAAATCTATAAGGCCTGGGACCGCACGTTTTTGGGCAAACTTGTACGTTCTAAAATCATCATAACTTTGTTACTTATGAAGCAATTTTTGTGAAACTTTCAGAAATTGTATAATAAGATGCATTCTATGTATTATTGAGAAAAAATTATGTTTTTTAATAATTATAATAACTTTTTTACTTAAAAAAATAAATTTGTACGAAACTTTTAGTAATTGTAGAATAGGATGCACTTTACGTATTATTAGAAAAAATTGTTTTATAATAATTATTATAAAATTTTATTTAAAAATAAATTTCACCAAAGTTTCTAGTACTTTTTTCAAAAGTATGATATTGTGTGAAACATTTTTCTCTGTGAAGAGGAACCATACAAAATGTCTATATCTTGATACAGTTTTTCGTAGCTTGATCTGTTCGGATTCCGCCAATGGGATCGTCTGGTCACCAGCCTTGGAGGCAGTAGGATACAATGTATGAAAGTAAGTCCATCCGTAACAGACGGGACGCGAAACACGAGAGAACTCGTGAGCGCTCCTGAATGTGTTGATGATCGTGCATGTAAGGGAGCAACAATGCATATTTTCATGAATTAATTGCGTTACTGTGACCCTTGCCCTCTGTTGGTAACGATTGAAATCTTTTTCCGTAGATTGCCCTTTAGTTGGGAACTGGCATGGCTTATTTATCAAACCCTCTTTAGGTATGCTGTCTTGCCCTTTTGTTTCAGTATACTTTTTCTCTCGTTTTTTATTTACGAAAAAATATATCCCCACCACGATTCCTTCAGCAGTCCCTGTTAACCGTGGACATTGTTTCCAAATATACGTGTGAGCGACAAAAAGAGAAAGATAACGTGCCCCGTCAGACTTCCAAAATTGGGAACACTGAGATACGTAAATAAAAACAAAATGCAGGCTGATCATCAATTTTCCACATGAAAGAACAACGAAAGAGGGGATGCTGTAATTTGCAAAATACATAGCCACTCGCGAAAGTATTTCGGGGGAGTAAAAATTTATCACGGCCGAGTACAAAAGTAAAGATACCCAAGAGAAGATAAAACGCAGATAAGTCTCCCGCCGGAATCTTACCCAGAAGCCCCGGTAATTTTGCGGTGTTTTCAAAAGTTTCGTAGAGAGACAAAAAAAAGAGAAGAAAAGAAAAAAAAATCAAACGAGCAAGCTCAAAAACTCTGTCGTGACTACCCATGATATTTATGTCATCTCGTACGTTATCAAATTTACAAATTTTTTTTTTTTTCGAAAAAAAAAAATTATTAAACAATAAACTTCTGCAAGAATGACAAACAGGAAAAAAAGTATATTATACCCAAAACTCATCGATGACTGCTGAATTATGAAAAATACTTTAAATACAGTTATCAACGACTCAAGTGACGTCTTCCGAAGGGATTAAAAAGTAAATTCCAAAGAAAATCTCTGGCGTTAAAGATCAAATCGAAAATCACAGATCGATAAAGTGATATCACAGGCAAGATATGCCGACAGTAGGAGAAGATTTTTTGATATATGAGAAAATGATGCTTTAATTATGACGAAGAAAGCCGACCGTGAAGGAAATTTAAAAGAGCAAAGGTGACTTCAGCGTTCGATTTATCAAGAGGGTCCCGAAGTTCCATAGTTGAGCAGCCATCGTAATATATTTTGTCGAGTCGATCGATAAGATGCTGAAAAGAATTTTCTCCAATTCCGCTTCTACGTGCGTTGCAAATAAGTCATATATTTCACGAACTAAAATAACTATAAAATAAAGTATTCTGAAAATGCCAAAAAAAAAAAATGGGCAAGTGCCGTTAACCTAGTAGTATTTCAAGTATATGTTAAACGAGTGAAAGAACGAAGAAAATATTCAAATATTATATGATTAAATTATATCTACATTATGATAATACGTATACGAGTCTGCACCTGAAACTTTATAAAACCGTCGTAGTAATATTTTAAGAGAAAGAGTCAATTCAGAATGTAATTAAAAAGTTATAGGGACACCGAACGAGAGCTTAAGCGATCAAGGGTTTTAATTTTGAGTACTCCGATGGAATTGAATCTGCAGGATGACTGGGCCAAGTCGATAAATTCTGGGATAACTATGCGTCTGCGAATAGACGTTGCCTGCGTGCCAATATGTATAGATTGAAACCGTCAGGAACATATGGAAAGACTTAATGGGTTGGTAAATTGGTAGATTGGTAGGTACTCCTTGCAATAGGCGGATAGATAGGCTGCTAGGGTGTTCAGGTTGATGAGTTGGTAGGTCTACCTAAGAAGAAGTAACCCGAAGGTATAAAGATCACGTTGAATCGACTCTCAGATAAGTTTTCAAGAGATTTTCAAGGGCACGACTTGCCTGGACGACGATACCATTGATTTTACTATAAACCGACGTATAAAAGCCGGTAATTCATGTAATCGCATTTCTACGTGAACGTGGAGATAAGACAACGTTTAGAAATTTGTTTAACCAACAATGAATGGCATTGTTATCGCATTTTGATTGGAAACGTATTACTGGGTAACGCAGTAGATTCCTTGACATTGGAATATTCCATATAAGCAAATCCAAACGATTCACTTGAATTAAACTCTCGAGTAGTTCTTGAGTAATTTCTGTCATTTTTGCACATTGATTTCGAATTGCAAATTTTTGCCATTTTATATGACTGAATATTTGCTAAATATATATAACAAGGTTATATATTGGTCACTCGTGTTCTCATGAAGGCGACAGGATAGGTAAATTGCAACACATTTGTCTGAAAAGTAGGAAAACAGTGGCTTTAATAGGGATTAGGGTATAAAGCTGCGAGACTGTACTATGGAAAATATTGCAACGACCTGATTTCCGGGTAAAACGTGATTAGCGAAGTGAAGTCTTTGGGGCGTAGCGAATCCTAATTTCCGGTAAGCTTTGACGCAAAAAAAAAAAAAAAACAATTATCCGGAAAAATTTTCCGTAATCTCTTTTTCCCCTAGCTGGCACAGTGTTCACGTCATTTTTCTTTGTCCTTGCTCTCCGTCCTTCCGTTCTTCTTATTGAAATGACGTTCTTGCGCGTAAATTCGCACCGCTGTTGTCGAAAGGTTTGGATTAAACGTGTTTTGATCGGTGAAGACGCACAAACGTTATCGCGCTACGCGTGGCTTATAATGGATCAGACTAAATAAGGTAAATCAGTTACGAGATACATTGAAAGAATAAATATGAAAAACTTGCTCATCGATCAAACGATAAAAATCATCAAGTACACTATCAGTCGATCGGATTGCGATTTTCTAGACAGAACCATATAAATACCGGGAATGCGAAATGATTTTAACAGTCAGCAAAGTGCTTGAACTATTTTAAGAGTGTGGCTCCTCAAACTTGTGAAAATGAAGGTGCTTCTTGTACTGGCGCTCGCCATTTTGGCAGTGGGTCTGTAACATCATATTATATAATGAATCATAAAAAAAAAATTCTTTTGATGACAAAATAAAAATTTTCTACCGACTGTCTTTCCAACCCATCGACTGATTACAGCCCATGCCAAGGAAGAGGAGCACGACTACATGTTCTTCCCTGATGGTAATGGCGAACCCCATATCATTGACCTTAAGACATCACTAAACCCCGCCGATTTGGAAAACATTGAACGTAGCGTGAGCAGCATGACCTTCACTCTGTACACTAGGTAAAAGTCAAGAATTTAAAAATCTTGTATTATAAAGTTTGTATGTTTTGAAATTTAATATGTATATTCCTCCACTCCAGGCAGAATCGTGAGGGTGAGATCATTATCCTGAATAATAGACGCAGTCTTGCGCAGAGCCAATTTTCAGCCTCTCGTCCAACACGTATAGTCACTCATGGATGGAAGTCTTCGAAAGATTCTGATGCCTGCACAGTAATTGTGGATGGTAAAATTTATTTTAATTCATCCACTAAACAACGATTACGTCCAATGGTCTTATGTTAAATGCCATTTCCTTTTAGCCTTCCTTAAGAAAGATGAGTACAACGTAATCGTCGTCGACTGGAGCAATACTGCCTCACAACTCTATCTGGTCGCTGCCAACAGCGTCGAAAGAGTGGCTAACCGTGTCGCTAGGTTCATCAATTTCCTCCAGTCTGCAGGCAATCTTAAAACCACTGACCTCAAAGTCATCGGTCACTCTCTTGGTGGGCACATTGCTGGTCTCTCCGCTCGTCAAGCTTCCGGAACTGTTGCTGGAGTTGTCGGTAAGTTGTAACCGTGAAGCATGTCCATGCGTTATAATAGTTACGTATTGAGTAATTTTGTATAATGCGCGACGTTGTTTTTATTCAGCTCTTGACCCGGCACTTCCGCTCTTTAGCGATGCTGGTCCTGGTAGCAGAGTCGACGCTAGCGATGCTAAGCACGTTCAGGTCATTCACACCAATGGTGGTTTGTTAGGCTTGTCCAAAGCTGTAGGAACTTCAGATTTTTATCCCAATGGTGGCAGCAGCCAGCCAGGATGTGGCCTGGATATTGTTGGATCCTGTGCTCACTCCCGTGCTTATTATTTCTATGCTGAGTCTATTGGCAATCCTTCTGGTTTCCGAGGTACTGTCGTTCGCAGCGGTTCTGCTGATGTCTTCTTCTCTCATGGCAGTGCTTTCATGGGCGGATCCAAACTCGATCGGCAGTGAGTATCCAAAGAAATATGCACATGTTGCAAGCCTTTTTTTTAAAGCGCACAGTAGATTTTTAAGAACTTGTGGACAATGGTTAATTTAATGATTTTTGTCATTCTTAGGGCTGATGGCAGCTACTCCCTTACCACCAACCGCAATCCTCCCTATGCTAAAGGATAAACATACTAGCCACTCACGGATTTGTCAAAAAAGTTGATTTGACAACTTAGGATCCACGAATTCCACTAAAACTAAATTCTTATATTAAAATATTATAACACTCTAATAAACTTGCTATCGTATTATCAATTTGATTATCTATGTTTTTACCTGCCCTATAATATAGTGAATATCTAAACGATAAATGAACTGGAGGACAAAACTTACCTTGTCAAATCAATATTAAGTTATGATTATGGACATTGACTTACCGCAACCATATCTTCAATAGCCTGAGTTGACTTGGAACCCAGCATAACCATTCCCATAGCAATGCCAGCTGCTTCTCCAGTTACAGCATCGTCTTGATATAAATTGAACTTCAATTGTTCATAAACATCCTGCCTGTGAGATCCCATAGCAGCGAGACCCAAACCGAGACAACCACCATGTCGTACCATCTTAAAAATTAAACAAAACACCAATCAACATTTAAACTCTTAAGGACCAGAAGTCCCTGAAAGAGAACTGACCTAAATACTGGATTAGTAAAAAGACAAAGTAAGAAAAAGATATGTGAAACAGTAGTCTTACCTCATTCTGAGCATCCTTAAGTTGTCCCAGGAGATAATCCGTAATAGCAGCGCCGTGGTTAGCATGAATGAGACCTAGTGCATAAAGGCCACCTCCTTCAGAGTAACCCGCACCAGCGCCAGTGTCACGTGGTAAGTACGATTGCATCAAAGCAAGAGCCTCCTGTTCATGACCTCTATGAATTACGCCCAAAGATGCGGTTGCTGTTAACTTGGCCCAGTTCGTAGCCCTGGCGAGCCACTCTAAATTATCTCTATAAAAGACGAAATAACATGAGGATACTAAGTAAGAGAGGACTCGAAAATAAAATCAAGGACAAATGGATACCTGAGAAACTGATCACTGGTAGTTCCGGAATGCATAAACGCATTCGCAATAACTGTAGCAGTATGACAAATGGATACTCGTATAGCATCCTTAGTATTTTTTAGAATTAGCATATCCGTATGATTACTACGAATGAGGAACTGAAGATGCAAGTCAATCGAAACCTCTCCGCCTAAAATACTGGACAGTGCATCGACGCGTTCCTGCTGTTCGCGTTCCTCTGCATTCTATAAGACAATATTAATATACTAGATTCATAAAATTGTATAGGATATGACAGTGAAAGTTGTAGGGAGTTATGCTTTATACAAATTTAACAATTAATAATTAATAAATTGCTTACCAAGCTATCTACACTACGCTGTGGCTTCTCTTCTATCGCAGCAGGACTACTATCAGTTTCAGTAGTACTGGATTCAGAGGGTACGTCTGCAGTAGCCTTAGCTGCTGGCTTTATTATTGGTTTGACCATGAGAGCTGCAGGAATGGGAGCAGTTGCTCTTAAAGCCTGCAGAACACGTCCTAGAAACTGTTGCGTAGCAGATTCGTAGAGATCAAATGCGATTTGATATGCCATTAAAACAGAATCCTGGGGTCCTTTGCTCAGTCTATCTAATAACTCGGCGACAGCTAATGGATCGTCGAGGAATATCAGGCACTGGCACATGTTTACGTAGTCTGGAGTTCCAAGATTGTGATATAGATTCACTAGACAACGTAGGACAGTGTTACGAAAGCCACGATTTTGGATAAGGCTCATCACAACTTGGAAAGCATAGGAAAGCATGCCACAGACATCATCCTGGAGAAAAATGAAATTGTTAGATACAATCATATTGATAGTTTGTCTATGGTGGACAAAATAGTAAGTTGCATACTGATTGCATAATGGCAGCTTCGAAGATATCCATGCGTCGCGTTTCCAATGCCAAACCCAAAGCCTGACGGTATTGACTATCATCCAAACATCGCTGGAACATACGATTCACAATGCCTTCGAGCCTTGGATCTATTCCTTTACTACCAGCAGTCAATTTTCCCTCGACTTCCAAGACGCGTTGTTGGGTATAATAATCGATGCATTTTGCTGTAAAGGTTTTGAGTTATTGTAATGTAAGCTAAGATTGACATTTAGGGAATAAAGAATTTACAGCAAGGGGGATAAAATATGACTACGAATGTTACCGATAGTAGTGTCAACATATTCATTGCGGGCGTTGACATCAAATAGTTCACCAGCTCCAAGAGCATATGTCAAGGAATCTTCGAAACTACCAAGGTGATAGTAGACCTTGCTGGCAACCAAGGCAGCCAACTCGTGTTGATTAAAAGCCTTGTCTTCGTGAAGAATTTCACTGTGGAAGAAACATTTCTTAATTGTACTACAAAAAGAGTGAAAGTTAATACAATGAAAATAATATATTTAATTTAATTAAGTATGTTTGATTAGATTCAGGAACAAAACATAAAGAATAACCATGCAGGAAGAGAAGATAAACAAGAACAGAAACAATACATACAAATACAAATTTATTTTAAATAGCCAGTCTTATATCTCAGTCTTATGTGTATTTTTTCATTTGTTCTTAATATTCAATATTTTGAAATCTATGATATTCCATACTTAATCACATATGAAGGATTTGCGTTAATACCAGATAAGTTACAGAAACAAATATTTTTAAAAGCAAGGAAGCAGAATTTAGTATGCCTGTTATTAGTTCATTATAATGATGGATGACATACATTTTTTCGATTGCTTCTGATATTTCTGGCCAAAATTCATCCACAATTAGGTCTAATTTCTTCAATGCAAATACTTTTAGCTCCGGCATGGGCTCTTCCAGCAGGGAGATAATACCAGCTGCAAAAAAAGAAAAGTATTAAATTAATTGAATAATTAATAGTAAACATGTAAACCGGAAACATCATTCTATCAATGCAATGAATATGCATCATTTCTTAGAAAGTTGAAGTATGTAATGAATAAATTAAAGAAAAATGATAATGTATAAATAGGATACACATTTTTTTGAAATATCGAACTCGTTTCGCAAACGTCAATCATATAACTCTAATAACTACAAAATTTATCCAGGTTATGTCTAACATGATTTGCAAATCATGATCCTTGTGTACATGATTATTTAACAAAAAATAATTTTATAACAGAAATATCTGTTTTACGAAATTATTCAGCTGTACAATATATTAGAATAATTTATCTTACCTGCGGACGTGATATTCATGTTGATTTATACCGTTTTTCGGATTACTTTCAACAAGAGATTCACAAGAACATGAAACGGTGAGACGGAAATCTCACCAACTGAAGTTAGTTGAAGTTGTAGATAGCCAAACAACTCGTTTTCAGTGCTGCTATCTAGTTACTTCATTTAACCCCTATGATATCAGCTCCTAAATTGATTGTTTTGTAAAACTGAGCATAAAAAACACAAGATTGTATTACTTAATAAATTAATAAATATAAAGCAAATCATGACAATTAAAACTTTTGATTTCGTACAAGCAAATAGTATTTTTCGCATTCTATACAGTAATTTTGAAATCCTATTATGGTACTCCTTGTACACTAACTTCAATGCCATTGTAAATGACGTTTCCAAAATTCTGTATTCGCTTGTGTTATTCCCAACGTTTCCCTTCAAAACAGTTTGATAATCTGCAATAATTACATAAATAATTTATCAATTAAGGCTGCTATAATGGCAGAAAAAACTAAAAGTATGAGTCACGTTAAACATGTTCCAAAAGACGCACAGGTTATAATGTCTATAATGAAAGATATGGGAATAACAGATTATGAGCCAAAGGTTATAAATCAACTACTCGAGTTCACTTACCGTAAGATCTACGTTATTATTCACCGTTAATGTAATTGGTATTCCTCAAACGATATTTGTTTTCTGATATTTATATATTTCATATACAGTATTTTATTCCAGGATACGTTACTTGTATACTGGATGATAGTAGAATATATGCAAACCATGCTAAAAAGAAATTCATTGATTTGGACGATGTCAGACTAGCTGTTAAAATGCAACTGGAGCGTACTTTCACAAATCCTCCTCCTAGAGATGTATTGCTTGATGTAGCACGAGCCAAGAATAATATTCCTTTACCATTTGTCAAGCCAAACAATGGTTTACGCCTTCCACCAGATCGTTATTGCTTAAATGCTACCAATTATAAGTTGAAAAATGCATCAAAGAAAATGGGTGGTAAAGCTTTGCATTCGCTAGGACCTAATAGTCTTACTGGTGGACAACCAAGAATTAAAGTGGAGGGTAATAAAGCAGGATTATCTATCGTCAAGAGACCAGGAACGCTTGCCACAGTTGCTCGGACTCAAGCAATCTCCATACCGAAACCCGTTTTCAAATTTTCTACAGGTACATATGTATTTTCAATTAACAAAATATTTTATATAAAAAGCACGTTATTTAACTTTTTAATTATTCATGTTATTGTTTAGATTCACAACATACCCTCCAATCCCAATTCCCTCTTCCATTCTACAACATTTGTATAAGAAATCAATCCTGTAAGAACATTGTTTTTGAATAACATTGTATAATATAAATTATGTACGTGTTCTAACACAATATTTGATATAGGCACTCCAGGTGTGGCTGCAGTAAAAAATCAAGCTGCCAAACCAAAAATACAAATAACATCAGGCCAAGCAATACCAGTAATAAAAATGGAAACTGAAGATTCAAGTAAAAGGAAAAGAGAAGACGACGACTACGATGCAGTGTAAAAATAAATCTGCTTCATACTTGAACAAATATCATCTCATATTTTTCAAAATAACGTATTTTCAAATACAACCTGTATTATAATTCAGATACGTGGCGATTAACTTAAATAAAAAGGAAAAGAGTTATCCACAATTAAAGAACTTTTATTTATCGTACACCAAACTTTTTCTAAAACCTCATCCAACTTCATACTCCACACATTATTAAAACTTATCCTTCTTCTTCAGAGGGTGGTTCATCCGGTTCTGTTTCTTCTTCCGTTAAAAATTCACTTTCTTCCGTTGCGTCCTCTAAAGTTCCTATCATTTCCTTTATTTGTATACTTTCTTGTTCGTCTTCAGGAGCATCTATACCTTCTTCTTCGTCTTCAGTTTCTGTATCCGTAACATCTTTATGCTCTTCTTGCGGCATCTCTTCCTGCACCTGAGCAGGCGAATCGTCAGCATTCATCAAAGCGGAAATTTTGGAAACCTTAGCGTCGACCTCCACTTCCGGTTTCTCCGTTTCCGTTTCGTCAGCTTCAAATTCCGGAGGTTCGTCGGTTGGCATAGATTTCATAATTTGAACGACATTTTCTTCGTCTGGTTTTTTACTCTTTTTCTCTTCTTCGCGAACACATTTTTTTCGCTCCATCGGTAAAAACAGTTTAAACTCCTCAGGAGTCTCATCCTCCGTATAAAGTCTGTATTATCATTTGATTATTAACATTCCCATTCCCACATGATTACGCTATATATAACTATCAGCTTATATTTATGTAAACTAACCTATCAGCAAAATATATGCGACGAATTCGACAATTCGCGTGTATTTGCATTCTCGTGGTTTCCACATAATTCGTACCATAAGCTCGTCGTGTAAAATCGGCCAGATTGAATTGAATTTGATTCCATCCGCCGGAAAGACCAATTGGCATAGAAGTAGAGAACGGGCGTACCTTAGTAGTGCTTTGAAAATTACTAACGCGAAAGCGTCTGTGCATATTTTTATCATCCAGTATCTGAGAACAATTTATAATTACAAAAAGAAATTACACTATGATTAACATTAGCCAAATCATTACCGTAATCTCAAATGTAAAATATTTCTTCATATTCTTTATAATCATTATAAAAAAGGGTAGCATTATTCCCAAAACTTTTTTTCTATCAGCTGGACAATAGATAAATGTTGTGGACACGTTGGTACCAGCTATTTCAAGCGCCAATGATTTGACTTCGTCATCGGTTACGCGTCTTATGTAACCATGCTTGACCTATAATAAGATTTATAAAATTCGATTAAAATCTAATAATTCTTTTACATTAAAAAAAATCAAAAAACTAACATGCATGCCCCAATTTTCTAACGGCGAAGAGCCACAACTGTACAGGACAGACAAAAAACCGTTTTGATAAGAATTGCGATACATTTTTGTACATTTATTTTCCGACAAGTACAATATTTTTTGACAACTATTTTTCACTATTTGCAGGTTATTAAAAAACAATATTTCGTTCGCTTGACGTTCGAACGTCGAACTGTCAAATTTTTTGAAAACAATAAGCTCCATATGTCGATATATCGATATTAAATAAAGTTCTCTTGTCTTCGTGCCGATGTTCACGTCTATCGGAATTATTCATTGATCCATTGTTATCGAACAATGCAAATTCATTCTGAAATGTATTCGTATCTTCAAAAGATATCAAATATCATGATATCCAACTTTTCATCAAGTGCTTCCGCTGGTTTCTTACAAAGGGGAAAAGAAGAGTCACTCATTCGCTCGAAATAAGTTGATTAATGCGACGCTCCTCCTCGGCTGTAGTAAATTTGGGCAATACGAACGCTTCCGGCGGAAACCCCACACTGAAGACTCGATCGACTCTCACGCAGTCAATTGCAAATGCCTGCATCATTGCTATGTGCATGATTTCCTTATTGAGCTGCTTAATAATTTTTTTCTTAGTCCTTTGATAACGCCGTCGGCAGACCACGTGACTTAAAACCGAAAAACAAAGGCAGAATATTCGTAAAGAGACAAAAGTGGCGTCAGGTCAGTAATCATAATATTCGTAGCTTCTGAATTGCACGAAGAAAAAATTATAAGAAAATCAAAAACGCACGAAACAACGAAATATACTCGGCGATTGTAAAATCAAAAAATTAAAACTAAAAACAGTGATAAAAAAAATTTAGATAAATGTAAAATATAAAATTTTTATAACAGAAAAATCTTCTGTTTCTTACTATGGAAAATTCTTCAGACCAGTGTAACTGGGATTTATAGATACGTCACTCCTGTAGAGTTCCGGATAACATTTCATATGCTTGGTTCGTCTTTTGTACACTGACGCTTTTGGCTCTTGAATTTCATTCGAGGGAAGTACAGGATCAAAGGATATATCGGAATCGACGTAATCAAAATTCGAATTCTCCTTGGCATCCCCATCACCCGCTTCCGGTAGTTCTTCATCGGCGTTTTTCCTGTCCTCCATATTGTAGAAATTAGATTTCAATGAAAAAAAAAATTGTAAACCTCCCAGATACTCGATGTACGTTTTATAAAATTGTAATTTGAATAATCAATAAAAATTATTATTTTATATATTCGATATTCAGTATAGATCAAAATTTTGCAGCGAGACGGCGCGAAAACTTTCTACGGGTAATTTGAAAGGAGAACCTGACCGGAACGGAAGTAGATAAAGACTATTCGTCTTTCTACTGATTCGATGAAGTTACGGGATCTGTAACGAAGCGAGCCCTCGTACCTCGCACGGATATCGATTCGGTTTCTAGGAGAATCAATAGATTTGGCTTATTTTTATTTGGTCAGTAGAACGAGCCTAGTTCATTCGTCATTGCATAACGTCAATTGTTTGATAATGTTCCGCGGATTAATAGACCTATAAAATTTACATAGATATCTCCATGCAAAAACAATTAAAATCTTGACGAAACCCGCATTGCACATTTTTCATAATTAATAAATCATAATAGGCATTTGTTTCGTAATACTGAATATTCGCGAAGAACTTCAGAACACTATAGTGTAATTACTCAAATATACATAGACACTACAATAGAGTTAGACATTTTATACATTACACAAAGGGATCTTATGCATAGTTTACATAACGAACCATAAGAAACTCAATCACGCGAGTCTATTATACTGAGATATATATATTTATATAAAAAATTCAATTACTTCCACTCGCCCTATAACGTGTTACATTTAAAATTCAAATATAAAATTTTGCCTTTCCGAATATCTTTGATTTTGTTTATAAAATTCCAAGCAAACAATAACACTCTATTTTCAAAGCCACATCTTCCAAAATCTATTTCGTGAACCGCATTAATCAAATACAAATATATATATATATATATATATATATATGCTTCAGATAACAAAACTGTAATAATAAATTCCAGATCATTTTGGTTTATCCGGGTATCTGCCTGGCGCATGCGCAGAAGCGTCAGCAAATCAGAATGCACCGCCGTTGGAATGTTCAAACCTGCGCTGGAATCGTGCCCGAATTTATTGATATTCTGCTGGTCGTAGATATACTATCCTCAGTAAGAGTACAACGTGAACCAAAAGTACAGTTGATCATAATAATCATACCGAAGTACGGTCAAACTAATATACGGTAGAACGTACGTAGTAAGGGAAAGCGCCCTCGAATATTCAGTACGGGACGAGCCTTCGCTTGGGTTCGAGAAATGAAATAATTAAAAGTATGGAAGTGATACGATGATAAAGGGAGAGGCTCGATGATCGCGCAATGATCCCAGAGGCAATTTTTGTGAAATCTCGTCAAGTATTATATGTAGGAGAATGACGAAGTCGTGCTCGTGATCGATTTATTTTTCGCGGATGTTGACCGTAGAGATAAATAAGGATAATTGCAGAGGACTGACAGCTGTTGGGAACATTGGTGCGGCCTATCGCGACTCAAATTTAATTGAGTTTAGGATCCTCGAGATATTCGTCTTAATCGTACAATGGCCAGTGAAAAACGTGGCTACAGGTTCGTCACTTCCTTGTGATTAGTTTTCGAGTCCCGTCGAGTATCCTTATTCTGTGTTTGGTTAACACCTTTTCTTTTCACTTTATTCTTCTTCTCTTGTGCTCTAATTTACGTTGTCACGTACAATTTGACAATCCTGTCACGGCACTTGATGTACCTTTAAATATGATAGATTTGTAAATGGGTGTATATTACGTATGTATACATATATATATATTTATTCTCTAGCAACAGTGTGAGAAATTAAATCTTGATAAGCTTGATATATGATGAACTAGTGGATGGACAATTTTTGCACAGAATTAAATAGAATTTAAATTGTTATAGAAAAAGTGAATTTGTTATATCTTGTGTCCTAGAAATTACACGAAATATTTTTGACGAGGAAACGAATATTAGATATGTCATCGGGTGTTATTGATTTTATTTTATTATTATCAGCAACATAAATCCTATTACGGGTATTCATATAGGTGGATTTGTGTGTGGGAACTTGAACACATCCGTTGTTCTTGATCTCCTGTACTTTGTCATCCGGGCGTGTAATCCTAAGGACATTTATATTTAGGGAGTGAAGAACTTTTTGTGGCTACTCACTTGGCAACTTCGAGCGGAACTGAAAATTCGTTTTGTTTTCACGTGTTAAAGAACAACGTTACCAGCTCCAGGACACTCGGAGGTAAATCTTTGCTCGGTATTGTCGCTGGGAAAGGATCTGAGCAAGATAACGATGCCTGTCATTTTCAACGAACCATTATCGTTTCTACAACGAGTAGCGGAATACATGGAATACGCGAAATTGCTGAAACAAGCTTCGTTGGAGCAGACGCCTATTGGCCGAATGCAGGTAAAAAAAAGGGGCATGTGAACTGAATAAAAATTGTATGAAAAAAATTGAAAAAGTTGGATTGAATACATTTTTTATTTATCTTTTTTTAGTACGTTGCTGCATTTGCTGTCAGTGCTTTAGCATCTAATTGGGAGCGTCTTGGAAAACCTTTCAATCCCTTGTTAGGAGAGACCTATGAATTGGAAAGGGAAGATTTTAGGTAAAACTTGTTTTTTTTATTTAGACAGTTTTTATGTGGTTAGAGAATTATTTCAGCGAGATTTTTTTCTATGTTATTATTACGTAGGATAATATGCGAACAAGTTTCCCATCATCCGCCTGTATCAGCTTTCCATGCAGATAGCGATGATTTTATCTTCCATGGAAGTATTCATCCAAAGTTGAAATTTTGGGGAAAATCTATCGAAGTCCATCCTAAGGGAATTGTCACTGTGGAACTTCCCAAGTGAGTAGAGTATTAGAATTCTTGGTTTTATAGCTATTATTTTCCGTGACTAATTTTTTGGAATTTTTACATAGATGGAAAGAGGCCTATACTTGGCAAAATGTTAATTGCATCCTTCATAACGTACTCGTGGGTCAGTTGTGGATGGAACAATTGGGTGCTTTGGAAATCAAGCAATACGGCGGTGCCAATTTGAAAGCAACACTTTCCTTCAAGAGTGCCGGCTGGAACGGAAAGGATTTACACAGAGTAGAAGGATTCATAACTGATCCAGAGTAATCAAAGCCAGCATTTCTACGTAGCTGTAGATTTGACTTCACATTTGAGAGTTCTTTCAATTACTATTTCAAGAACCTCACTCTCGAAGAGTTGCTGAAATTAAAAATTAATTTTGAAGAAAATTCGTTTAAAATAATATGGTCTACAGGACACCCCTTAATTTTTTTGGTGTGAAACAAGGGGTCCAAAAAAACACTATTTAAAAAATTATTTGTTAGGTTAGAAAATGAGCAGCGCAAACCAACCGCCAGCCCGAGCCTTCATTTCCTGTAGACCATATTTTGAACTAATTCATACTGCCTTTAGCTTATTTCCAGGCAATAACTACTTTCGAGAACAATTTAGCCACCTAGTGTTAAATTCGCAAAGCAGGACTATGGCTAATGCTAATTATTTAAACTAGAAATGGTGATGTCTTTCTGTTGCCAACGAATTTGAATATTCTGTTTTTTTGCAGTAAAAGAAAATTGGTCTTCCTATATGGAAAATGGACTGAGAAGCTGTGTGCGTGCGATCCCAGTCTCTATGAAGAAACCATTGACAGGATCAGACGAGAAGCAAAGAGTCCTCAAAGTAGTCCGGGACACAAAAAGGTATTGGCGAAACTGCACAGTCTTAAGGTCGGCGCATTCAAACCTTCACACCAAGTAAGATTATTTTGAATATACTAAAAATATAATTAACCTTTTCTCTGGGTACTACCTCGCCTATTGGCAACATCCACGAAACGTTCTCTGGGTACTACTGCTGCCGACTGGCGGCGTCTTCGGAAAGTTATGAATGCCGCGGTCCGAATGAAAAGTTTAATGTCAATCACGCTCGAGATTTCTATGAATGACGAAAAACACGTTTTCGCAGTTTACGCTGCCGTGTAGTGCAACCACATTTGTGGAAAACTTCCCCGCACCATGAATGTATAGCCGCGGCCAACTCCTCCATATCGAAAGGGTTAAAATTTATGCTTAAAAAGATCCGATAAATAAATACTCTATATAGCTATTGGTAAATTGTAACAATATTCTTGCACTGTATTTAACCTTCCATTGGTAGTGCGTCGTTTGACAGTCGCAATAGATGTACATTTCTTATGACAAAAAAAAAGGCGGCACCACCATTAGAGGGTTAGGAATGATGGTTATAACTGGTGAATTAAAATTGTTGGCAATTTTTAAGGACGCGATAGACGAATCTGGCAATGATGGAGAAGATGTTCCAACCGTTGATGAAATTGCTGGATCAATTACCCTTTGGGAAGGCGTTTCAAGACCTGCTAATAGCGCCGACGTAAGTCATTACTCTGACAGTACTAAGAAATTCTAATCTTATTGAGTCTTACGTCTTTTCTAAGTCATCAGGTGTCATCAAGATTAATGATTTTGTGAAACATAAAACTATATAATATTTCTAGTTTTATCAGTTCACGACATTCGCGATGTCACTCAACGAAATGGAGCCAGGAATGGGAAAATCGTTATGTCCAACTGACTCCAGATTGCGACCAGATATAAGAAAATTAGAAATGGGAGATCAAGACGGTGCCGCCGCGGAAAAGATTAGGCTCGAAGAGAAACAGCGAGAGTCGCGCAAAGCGAGAAAACACAAAAAGGGTCCCGAGTGGGTGCCGAGGTATTAATGACTATATATATAAGCCATATCTAAAAATAATATTTCTGTATTAAAATCAGGATAAAAGTGATATGATCTATTTCCCTACAGATGGTTTCAAGTTGGTATAAATCCGCACACAAGACAAGAGGACTGGCTTTACCAGGGTGGATATTGGGACCGTAATTATTCTGATTTGGAGGATATATTTTAAAATTAAAGCAAAGGATGCATCATGCACTCTGATCTTATTCAGTGATTCCTTTTTGAATCATGCAATGGATTTACTCAATATGGGGTAATGTTGTGAATTTTAGAATGTGAAGTTTTAGAAGGCTGTGCACGTGTGTTATATAGGTAAATGATTATAAACATGGAAACACAAGTGTTTCTCCAAACTCTCTGTGTATGGAATACCGGTAATGGTTTGAACCCTTGGCTGACAATTAACAAGGTTATGATTATAATGTGAAAAGCACATTTGACACAATACCATTTTCCCCAGATGGTCTCTTTTTCATATGGATTTTTGCAAAGTCAATGAACATTTATATACCATATTTAGGTAAATACAAATGTCATATGAGTTACTCCATCTTTAATACATAATAGACTATGCATTCACCTGACTCAGTTTTAAATATATATGTGATTATGACTGCGATTTCTATTAACTTTTTTTTTCTTTACAGTTTATTGCTACTCGCGCAAATGGTAAAATGATATTTTCCTCAATTTCAAGCTCAATATGAGCCTTAAGGAAACCATTCTTATACAATTATTGAACATTTTTAATATATGCCTTATTATCGCAAGTTCTTCCAGTCTAGGGCAAGAATATAATACGTTAATCACAAGATAAGTGAATGTTTCAAACATATATTAATAACAAGCCAAAATAAGTTCTTAAAATCTCCAAAAACATGATACTTTAATTAACACTAAAGAATATAAACATTATGAAAGCCAGTGTAGTAACATTGGGCTATTGAGAGAACCAAGCATAGATAAGATACCTCATGGAACATAGTTTTCTCATTTGATAAACCTAAATGCATAGTAACACCAAGAAACCATTTCGAGTCTACCTAAAGATATTTTCTGGAGCTTGTGCTTCGTAGTTCACAGAAAAAGAAAAAAAAGTGTTCGTATATAATATAGTGTAGATAAATATACACATATATGTCAAGAGCATTTGGGATTTCAGGTTATTATCCAAGAAATCCCAACACTGAACACTAAGAGTTCAAACATTGTCAAATGTAATATTAAAACATGGGATAGTTTGACTCAATTGCATAGTATCCATTTATTCCTATTCTAGGAATATTATAGAAAATGATACTAAATTTAGAGTTTGATCCTGAATAACGAAATCGTTGCCTATATATATCGTAGTACCTAGAAATTATCTAGAGGTCGATGTCTATATGTGATTTCGCTAGAAAAATGAAAGAAATATCAATAAAAAAAAAAGGAAACGTACCAAAAATGTCAGATAATTATTAAATAATTTGCACGATACACTTGCGATTAGGTTTATTTTAAAAACGCGTAATCGTGAGGCGATAATCAATATTGCAAATCAGCAAAACATATAACGATGAATTTATAGTAGATTTGTGTATATATATATATATAAATATACTGATGTGACACCGCACTATTATAAAGAATACTGTTATATCCTTTTTGTAGGATATGCATATGTAGTTACGTAATGCGGCTTTTGGCTGATACGTACGTCTGTGCCATTTATCAACAACATATATTTCTTATGTGACAAAAATTATAAGTTTTTTTGTCCTTCGAATTATCTCCACCACTATTTTTATAAGACCATTATCATGGGATTGATAAATCCTTCCTTACTAGATTACACGGCATACATATATCGCAGAGATTTACACATATGTACATGTGTATATATAATTATTGACACCTGTATAGCTAATTTCACAAAGTCTCGGTCTGATTTAATAAATTATCAGTATGACGTACCAGAATCTTTTAATGCCGTAAAAGGAATAATGCTGTCGAGAGTGTTGCTTTGGATGATCTTTGTGAAGGAGAAAGAATTTTATTTGTGTGGAATTGTTGCACATTTGTGTGATATGGAAATTATGCTTGACGCAATAAACTATTATGATTGAAAATAATTTACTTGCTATTTTATGTGCCAACGCAGCTTTTTCTGTAATGTATCAATGATTGCGTGTATGAGTTTTGAAATTTGTACAGGCTTAGATACTGCGAGCAATTGATTTATCATATTGTAGTTTGAATTATTGAATCATGCCTCTGGACTCGAAAACTGAAAGTGAATTGAATATTTAAAAAAATTGGACTATTGCTTTTGAAGCTTTTTACTATTACGTTACTTTGTCTACGAGAAACTTAATGATGTGCGTCTTTGAGTAAAAGTAATGTATAATGCTACTTAAAATAAATGTATAACCAAATTGAAATTAACGAAAAAATTGATATACTCGAAATTTAACTGTTTGATGAGAAAAAATAATGGAGAAATGTATTTGTCAAAAAAAAGGAAGACGATTCCTTTTTTTAAAAGGAGAATCGAGAATTGAATATTCGACAGTACAAAGAATTGATTATTCACTGTATCCACTCCTAATGCTAATGATTGATCTAAGGACACTGCATAGAGGATATATAATATTCTTATAGCATTTTATTTACTTGTGACTCTATTTTTAAGTCTGAATTCTAATTTTAGTCAGTTTACAAAATATGTTCACATAAGTCTATGAAAAATATCATCCGTGTAATGTCCTTATAAAAATGACGACCGTATATAAAAATGATGAAAGCGATTAGGATCTAATATTATTTATACATTTAGAACTTGAGATGTGTTTATTTACTACGACGATCCTGGGATGCAACAACTCATAAGTTTACTCGAAAAAGTATTTAAAAAAAAAGTCTGCAAATTATTCGCGTGTGTTAGAGTCGCTACAAGCACGCGTAGATAAATATTATTCGCGTATGCAGTTTATAAAAAACTATTGTATTTATGTTGCCTATAGGTACGTCTATATAAGTGTAAATAGATTAGTACCAAAGAAAATAAATGTTATAAAATCGTTCAAATAACTTCTCTGATTGGAATCGTTACTCCCTTCTCATTCATGGAGTCTGACACGCATACGTTATGAACAGAATAATAAATTAGAATTATATTCAAATACGATTTGCGCGCTCTAAGTAGTGCACAATTTACTCACGTAATGGCGCTAGTAGCTAACTATGAACTAACATGGCCGCCGCTCCGTTTCCCAGGAGATTCAGAAGGCATTGATCTCCGCCCGGCACTGGAGAACACGTCACGTAAGATTACTTTGAAAGTTTTTTTCGGAAAGCGTGCGTGAATTGGTTAATTCGTGTTTACGAAAATTGTGTCGTACTCGTTGGAGAGATCTGAAGAATATTCTTATTACCTAAGAAAAGATGAGTAACGTACCAACAGGTAAGAATCTCCTAACTAGAATCACTGTACTCCTACACGGATTTTACGATCGAGACCTTCCCCTCGAACTGTCATTTGATAACTTGTCCGCCTTTCGCTTCTTAATCATAATTCCTTGCTAGAATGCTCATACTATGTATTTATTCCGTATGGCCAATACTTTTTGTCTTTAGAAGTTTGAGGTTGGATAACCTAAAATCATGAATTCCGATATCTCTTGAAATCCTACGCGCTTTTTGCGTCGTTGAGCGGATGTTGATTCGATTAGCGTAGATGTAGATCTCTGTGAAGCGCACAAACAAATTTCTGGGTATCACAATCGTATAGCAGCAATACAACTTGTTGAATTATTCAGAGATTCAAAATTATTGATAATATTCCAAGATCCATGTACACATTATGATTTCTGATCTTTTGGGAGTAACGTACTTGTTTCATTAAAAAAGCACAAAAATACACTAATTCTGTTGCTAATTGAACATTCCCAATTTTTGATGTTACTTCATAAGTCATTACTTTTTTTGAATAAGCAAATCCTTTTGTGTACTACGACTTAACCTCTTTTTACGTGACCGCCAGATGACCGAACGAGGACAACCTTTTTTAAGAGCGTTGCTTTTTATTTATATTCTCCAGAAAATTGCACGTGTTAATTATATTATCGCAGTTATCATTAACTACCATTTCGGTTGTCAGATTCTTATCAGTTCCGTTTTAATTATGCAGAATATTCGTTAAGCTTGACAAACATTATATTCGCATATGTAGAATACATCGTGTGCCATGTTTTTATTAATCACAAACAGATTATCAAGAGCATCCAATTGATCTGACTGAAATAGATAAATTCATCTAACACAAGCGGCGTTAACTTTAATCGCAATAATTGGATGACTCAGTATCAAATCAGCCTCAAGATAAGACAAAAATTCCTACAGTTCAATTCCCACACGGTTGTCATTAGTGCTAAATGACATTACAAATAATCAAATATTTTTAGACCAAGCTTACTTAATTCTTCATGCAATTAAATGTAAATTAATCAAAATCTATTTATAATACGTATCTATGCGAAAATAATTTTTTTTTCCCAGCGGTATCATTCTCCATGCACGCCAGCAATCAGTAAACAAAACCTAAGCCAGGAAATATTTCAATAATGGATATTCAATACTTTATACACATGAAATCCACGCTTATAAATAACTAGCAGTGAATATGCGTCATCTTGTTCGTTTTCAGTCAGAGTTTTAGAAATGTTTGTTTTTCTTTTATTCCGAAAGTCACACTCAGAAATTCTGACAGAAGTAAAAATGTCATTCGACCAAGACAGTCGAAATGGTAATGACAGTCCTTAGAATACATTCCATGAAATAAAGTGACCGACCTGTTAATATTCGGTAATAAAAGGGAACTTAATTTCGTTTCCATTATTTTCGCAGTCTCTTGTCGTTTAAAATTTACTTTCCATCTGTATATCGTCGCTCGACAGTATATACGCCGTCTGAGCTGTTTCCAAAGTAAATATTTTCTGCTGGTTTAAGCGGTGCCTTTAAAGTCTCATCTTCCTTCGACAGTAATAGGCTCGCAATTCTTTGAGAAAACCCCACCAATAGCATCCGTCGTCGCTGTCGATGCAGAAACGCAATGCATCGAGCACCAATAACACCAGATTGTGTCGTACGATGAGATGGCGCCTTAAACCTAGTTTAAAAGACACGTGAATTTGTTTTCCGCAACGAATTCTTTGTTGGCAATGCATGCATGAATATAATGCAGGCGGATATAGGAATCGGCGACAACACGTAAAGCGGGACATCCGGCATAGCTGTAGATATGCACCATATTGTATATCTGTAGTTGGAGGGCAGAGTATCTATAGTAAACGTGTAATAAATTTTACAATGTGAATCCATAGCCAATGACGTACATCTGTCATATAGATAGCTAACTATGAAAAAGCCTGTAGTTCGCACGATAAAGAGCCAAGTTTTAAAAGCAGGGAATAACGAAGTCTTGTCTTAGAGTAGGAAAAGTTTTTTTTTTTATTAATTATTAAAAAACACTGTAATTCCCTCTAACATCTCTTTTCTCCTTTTTTTCCCTAAACTTTTGATTTTTTAATACCACCAGCGAGAATAATGGTCGAAAGTTATTTCTTCTTCGTGCCTCGTTTGATACGTAATGTTCGATTTCGCTGTGGGAATTTCGGGTGAAACGGTAGCTGTCGCTTTTACTATGTCTGTCGTGATTTATTTCGTAGTTTGAAAAACACCGGGTACCGTTTCCCGAGTTATTGGTAAATATATATATTTTCAAACCAGTCCTTTATGTAATTTGTTACGGGTAAGCATATAGGAGCCACGAATTTCATCGTAGTCCTAATTAAATTAAAATAATGCATATTATTTGAGCGCGATACTTTTTGATATTTTTTTTTTCAAAATTTTTATTTTTTCTTAAAATCTCCTAAAAGGACATCGTGATATTATTAGCTGCGGCGACTGCACTCGGAGCACGGTGACTCGCAGTCTATGAAAATTCAAATCACGTTTGGATAGAGTGCAGTTGGTTATTATAATTTCCACATTGTCGGGTAGCGGAACGGTAAAAAATTGCAAGAGAAAATAGGAAAAACCCTTGAATTCGATCTTTGGGTTTCTAAAATTGACCAAGATCCTTCGAGTGATCGTTAATTTATCCGAAATTAAAGTCTCACCTTGTTCTCTCTTTGTTGTTGGACCCTGTGAAAAATCGACTTGGTTTATACGCTCCTGAAGAATCGTTCAGGGAATCGGGTTCTCCTTGACTCGAGAATTATTATCCTAGCACCTTCGTACACTGTCGAGATTACGGCTGTAAGAAATAACGAATGTCCATTTTCTTGTATTTATTCCTTTTTTTAACGTGGCTGAGAACAAGAACGTCCCAGTTCGTCGCTTCATAGTAACCGTGGCAAACGCGATGTTGTGTAACGTGGAGTCACGAAGCTGCTTCCTCGTGTAAGACTTTTTTTTCCTTGTTCGCTGTCCTTACCGTCGGCACGACTGGCATAAGATCCATTGTCTATGTTGATAGTGTCCTCATGAAATTTTGTAAAACGCGATTACGTGTCTGGGCAGTCACGATAAAGTTGGAGGTTTCGCATTTAAACCGTAAAGGATTTAGATACGTAATACAAAGCCAGAAATAATGCCGTGGCCATGTTTGAAAGATTTGAGGTATATGTATACGGAGAAGGTGAACCTTTTGGAATAGGCAGAACGAAGGAATGGGTAAACTGTTTCTTGCGAACGGCAACAGATATTATCCAAGTAAAATTAATTGACCAATAATTCGATCGTCTTCTGGGAAACACGGAGAGGAAGAGCGGACGGATTTGGTTGGGTTCTATGTTATATTTCAAATTCAATAATTTCTCTAGCTACGTGCCAGTACAAAGGATCTTTGATGAAGGAATGAACAAGACCGACGGAGGAAGACAGCCAATTAGGCGCTTAGATAATTATGTTCGAAGTAAAACTTAAAATTGTACTGAAAAGAAGGGAAAGAGAGCATTTAGAAGTTTTACGTTAAACCCAATTTATTTTTTAGTGAAATAATTTTTTTCACGTTAACCATCGTTATGATATATCCTGCGGAGATAAACGATTGGAATAACAAGACACGAATCACGAAATATGACTAATGAAAGGAAATGCTTTGTCTGGCTGCAATCGATTGATTGTATTGCGCATAAAGTTGTTCGAGTATCAAGTCTTGGGCTGGCCATGAATACTGTAAAAATTTTACTAATGATTAATTTAAAAAAATTAATTGAAACTTGATTTAGGTCAATAGTGGGAAAATTATATAAAAAGCCACAGTACACCAAGTAGTGCGAGTGTTTAGCATTTAATAAAATTGTAGGCAGATAATAATAATGATTCATCGAAAATTTAGCACAGGCACAGTACTCGGTAAGTCACGTTAGAAATTTGATTAATTTGATCCTCATGTGTGTGCTCCACTTGAGCAATCTGGCGTACATAATTTTTGTTACGTTGGACCCTGGACAATTCAGCCATCGATACAGCATATATTTACCATAGTATATATATTTTTTATTTACTTATAACGGACCAACATATATGTGTATACCAAGCGGTAGATTGTATATGAAAAAATGGTCTATGTATCGGTAACGTGGTTCCATGCCTACCGTTAACAGCAATAATAGCGAGGTAGTACTTTGTCCGAATCAAATTAAGTTATTAATAACTCGATGACCAACTCGACCTTAATTTTACGAGGATATGTCTATAACGTGAATCGAGACGGACAGGCAAAAAGGTCGCGTCGGATGAGGGCCCCCCATAGTGTCGCGACAACAAGAGTCATTGCGAAGCTGATGAAAGTTTAACAAGTAGCGGAGAAAAGTGGCGCGACTCGTTTCAAATCGCGTCCGTGGACAGAGCAATGCAAATTTTCCGTTACCTGATTGCATAACCGTATTTTGTTCCATTCGATCAATGCCGCTGCACCCAGAACGATCTTTTTTACTGAGAAGATAATTTACTCCGTCTTGCGTTATTGTTACTGCGGCAACTGGCGAAATTTTGTTTTAAAGCGCATTAGAGACACGAAGAATAGCTGCTATCCAGACAGGGAACGATTTTTGCTCAGGACTTTGTTTGGATCAGCTGGCTTCGCTCGTGGGATCGTGCCTGGATGGCACGAACACATGCACTCCTACGATCGTATACGTGTGCACTGTAGACGTCTGCCTTTCTTTCGTGATACTCTATCTCCCTGAGAGACTGGAGAAACCGGTAGATCGGTGTATAGAGTTTACTCGAAGAACCTTAGTCCAGTGGGGATTGTCTGTGCGCGGAGGCGCCTTTCTTGCACTCGCTCTCGTCGCATTCCGATTTCTCGAGTAACTACGTGGCCGAGCGCTACTAGCGCCATCGATAGTCAAGATCGTGAACTAGCGACAAATTCCATAGCAGTAATGTTCGCGCACCGGCTGTCAAACGCCATCGGCAACGAATGGCGCGTCGATCGCACGTGGTTTTACAATTTTTATCGGTAACTTTGTTGTTGTATACGTTACCATTCGTTTAATGGTTAGAGCGACGATAATAGTAACAATTATTGCAGTTGTGCAACGGTCTTTGTACAGGACAAGTGAAAAATACGAAAATCCTTTGGTTTACACGCGCTCGTGGATCTTTGACAGTGAACATGGTTTCTGTGAGGTTTAGAGACGAATGAATGTTTTAATTTATAATAAACGACTTTAAACTATGTCGCTATAAGAAAATATCGCTTAAATTCGTCTTCTCTCTATTCTCTTTATTTACGCTGTTCGTTACTTGGTGAATGTACCAGGCGGTTACTGTCTGTCACGGGTGAACCGTTGTGACACACTTTTAAAAAGTCTCGTGCCTTCGGTTGAAGTGTTTTTGGTCGCTACGAAAAATATATCTGAGTCCCAGGCGTTCAGAAGCTGGATTACGAGATATCCAAATAGTTGGTGAAAAATTATTGGATTTTAGTGACGGCTGTGATCCCGGCCATATTAGTAAGCTCTAACGTCGAACTGTAATATCCGGACGTGGATTTCTGCTTTTTAGTTGTTCGCAATGAACGTGACTGGTCGTATCAAACGATTGCAATGACCCTGGTGAATTCTTGTCGTTTCTATTGTACCCCAGTTCTCTGACACGTGCTTTGGTGAGACTTCGTGGAATCCTTGGAACGTCTTCGTCCGTGAAGATCATGAGAGGGAAGATGAGCGCGACAACGGAGAAAAGTGGAACTTGTTCAGAAACGGATAACTGTGCGGAATCGCGTCCTTCGGCCGACGATAGATTAGCGCCATTGCACAAAAAGGTTTGCGAGGAGCATGGCGACGACTGTCCCAGCGAGAACGAACACGAGTTCGAATCGTTGGAGTACGAGGAGGATGTTTATTATTCGCATTTAGCTGCCACCCCGAGTTTTGACGATATAGACGAGCTAAGCGACAGCGACGAAATTGTTGTGCATTGCTGGAGAGACTCTAATGGCGATATCGAGGAGATTGTTGTGGACGACGCTAACCTCTCCGTCGAGACGGAATTCCTTGAACGATCCGATACCGAGAAACGGAAGAAAAGATCGGTCAGGGTCATCTTTCAGGATCTGTCTAAACCTTATCTCGCTAGGATCAGCAATAGTCAGAATTACAAGAAATTCTTGGAACTTGTCAAAGGTAGAACAGTGTTTTGTTTTTACTCGATCATTATTTAGTGTGTATTTTTAGAACGAAAGTTTTTAACAGATTTCATTAATTTAAGCTTTTAATGATCAATTTAACGTGATGCCCAGTCATTGTGCGGCACTGGAAGCACGAAAGTTTTTATGGGAAAGTCGTTCTGACGTCATCGAGCCTAACGGCTGCTCGCTGATATTTTGTGTAAAATTTACTTTTATGGCGGAACAATATTCCGTTGGAAAATTACCCTTTTTACGATACCATAACTCGAGCTCCTTTGATTTCTTAGATACTGGATACTATGCAACATACTGAGAGTCGGGTTTCGGCCATCTTCTTTCTATTTTATTTTAACCGGTAGAAAAAGTGTCTTTTTTTTTGCAGCCCGATTCTAAGTTTTATGAGATTTAATGCTGTAAGGATTTTCTCACCGTTATTTCATTCTTGGAAATTACATACGCTCGGTGCATGATAAAATTATGTTGACCGTTAGTTTCCTACAAGAAACTTTGTGTAGTTCGGTAACGTTATTCTTAGTAAATTTCAAATATAATCAACGGCACTTGTGACTTTATATAGTTTTACTGGCGATACTATTTGAAATATGGTATCGCCGATCGCAGCCACGTACAGTTAACGGTCGTAAAATGCAGCTAGACAATAATTCTTGTATATTGTATTTCCCGGAGAAAGAAATTTCGTTTTCGGATAAAAAGTATAAATTGTAGGATCATTGTTCGCAGAAACAATTATTTTGCTAGAGAATCATTTTACAGTGTGCGAATTAATTGGCGAAAGAGCGGCTTAGGTAATAGACCAATGCCTCATTGGTCAAGTGAAAGTTTTCGTTGAAGCTTAAACTAGACACAAAGTAATGATAAAATTACTTCAAGGAAATTGACGAGCAGTATAATTTTTAAATCAAACCTAAACTAATTGGAATTCACTCCAACAATTTTTAACATTATTACATGGACATGAATTATCTTTTTACGGAACGCGGTACGTATAATTAGAATACATTAGAAAATTAATATTTTATAATTATTTCCATAATCGTAGCTGAACAAAAGTAATTTTTCAGGAACAGCACGCGTTACGTATAAAATTCTATCGATGATTAACGTGAATTTTTGAGCTCCAGGAGTCTTAAGTGGAGCGTAAAATTGAACTGGATACTTTTTGCGATTTTTCACGAGAAAACAAAACACAGCAGAAAAAAGTAATATCACGTTTAACACCACTTTTTTTCTTACCTATATATTCCCTCTAAATTTTATTCAATCCCTTGTCATTTGCGTTCAAAAAGATTTTAAAAAATTTTCATGAGACCTGGCACCCATTAAAATACCTAATCTACCGGGCGCCCCACGTCCTAATATCGAATCGCAATTTCCAATTCGACGTATCGCGAAATGAGGTTTATTAACCGCACACGTAATTAGGGCAACGGTTTAGCAACCACGGTCCGTTGCATCTAGACCGTTGCGAAGCGTAAAATCCACACGTCATCATTCTCCGATTTACACATATGACTCAGTGACGCCCATATTCGCTTGATCGATAAAAATAATAAATTCTCAAACAAAAAAGATTCAATTTTTACCAACCACAATGTCATCGCTACAGGCATCACTGAATTACCAAGTATATCGATCCACCGTTACTAAGCGCAAAAACTTCAAGTATCCTTGAACCGTTCCACACGTGTATATTGAAGTGGATAAAGAGACCAAAAAAAAAAAAAACAGTAAAAATTATTTCACAATCCCAGAAATCACATCGAAATTCTTAACCGTAATACTTTTTTTTTTGCAAACTGAAAAAAAAACCCATTATTTTGCATATCATCAAGTTCAGCAACCTTACAGACTAAAATATTGAAAATCGATTGAACTAGACTTTTCTGTATATTTTCACAAAGCAAAGATAATTAAATTTATAATAAAATGTCACGAACTCTTCTTTTATTGAAACCGCACAAGCGTTGCGTTACCTTCCTGAAAACCTGCTTACCTTCCATTCTCCATTCAAGCGGAACGAGAATGAACTATCAATCCTATAATCGTTAAATGGCCGTCGGACGTGTTTATTTAAGAGTATAGAATCCCAGCGCGAATCATCCATTACGGGACTTCACCACGTTCAGTGTGAATGATCCTGCACGGGGCCTCTTATAGGGAACTTTTTAACGGTTGGCTACCCTGACGCCACAAGAGATTTTATTATACGTACCATATAACGTAGGTACGCGCTGCCGGAGTGCGAGAACACTTTTCTCATTCATGGCTATTACGAAAGTAATAATCTTTACGAAGCGTAGAGTGTCGATTACACGGAGTTACTTCAAAGGTACTTTTAACGGCTGTTTACAGTAACGTCGTAAAGCGACGGCTACTTGACATATCGACGCGAAGGCAGACGAAGGACTCCCTTTAGCGTTTCGACTGTGCTTTTGGCGATCGATTGATTTATCTTTTTTATTTCTTTATTTCATCGCTCGTCTGTGACGTCATTGTTAATTTATCCATCGATCAACGCCCTTAGAGACTATATCGTGTCACTTATGGCAATTGACTTTTCCTGCAAAATCGTCATTTATATATCTTGGGGTACGATCGACGAGACTATACATAAATGTTTCGATTGCCGTTACGTCACGGTGTTTTTATTTATATAATTGTACCCTGGCAACGTTACGTGACATTTCGTGTCTTGATTTTTCTTTAGTCTTCGAGGCTATCTCGAGTGTCAGTAATTCTTCGTGTTTTATCGTTGCTTTTTTTTATTTAACTCGACATTGATTTTTAATTGGATTTTGTAATGAGGGTGACACGGAAGATGCACGGAAACGTCTTCGATCAGTTTTTGAATTATATGTTTAATTTTCATGGTTAAAAAATTCAATGATGAGGGTATTATTAATGCGCCTGTGTAATTTGGTGGTTCGCGTATATGGACTTTGTGCAATTTTATACTACGGTTATATTGAATGAGATTTTTAATGTTGAAAGGGGGAGGACTTGAAAAAATGAATAATACAAATTTACATGTAACCCGATCACCTTTCTATTGTATCACGGGTCTATTGTGGTTTTTATTTTCTTTTTATCTTACTTCTTTGCTTTACTCCTTTCAGGAGAGGACGCTTCTCTTCAGACTGACGGCACCCCTTCGCCGTCGACGGACAAAAATGTGTATGGCGTACATGTTCTCTCGGCGGAGGAAGAACGTCAGAAGGCTGAATGGATCGCCGAATTGACCCAGGTAAAATGTACAATAATATGGGGTGTCTCAGGGGGAGAAAAAGGGTACTCTGAACCGGTCCGCAAGAAACGTAGTCTCTTGCATCGATAATACCAATTAATTATCGTACGGTAACCCGTGACAAATGGAAATCGTTAACTCGGGATATTTTCAATATTTCACTGTAAAATTTCACGCTACCGTAATTATCAGCTCTGATTTATCGATCGTTATTTATTCTGGTGTCGATTCAAGATTACGTATAAATTTATTTAACGCGCATTCATTTCTGCAGGCATTTTCAATTTTTCTTTTCTAATTCTCTTGCTTGATGTCCGACAGGTCGAGGAGGAAATTCAGACACTGAGGCACGTGCTGGCGAATAAGGTCAAGGTGTCCCAGGAACTGAAACGGAAGCTGGGCATCAGCGTCTGGAAGGAGCTCACCGATGACGTTAATCAGGGTCTGCGCAACGTCAAGGAGAGCCAAGTGTACGTTTCACTTCTCGGGGTGTTCAACTCTCGTTGGCACGACATGCTTAATGTACACGGTGTATACACAGAAGAGGGTCGACTGTACAGAGTAGAGGACAGTGTCAAGGATCCCTCAGGAAGTTTTGAACCTGCCTGTCCGAACGTTCATTTGTCTTTACAGAGTTGAACCAAAGACTGCTAGGCGTAGAATTGCACTATTAAAATAGTCCAGTCGTACCTGGATGTTGCTGGATTCAGATTAGAATTTTCAAAGTTTTGTTACTGATATTCTGCTTGTCGATCTGGAACACCTTGTCAAGGCTTTTAGTTGGAGTTATTGTCAATGTTTTGTAGTGCTTCCTTTTGACATAGCAAAAACCGGACAGTCGCTTGACAGTCATAGATATAAAAATTTTGTAAATAAAAAATAAGCCAAGCCGCCAGACGATTTGAAAATACTAGTCACGTGGAGTCTTATGCTATTGCTCTTAGCCTTATCAGTAGAATGCACGCTAACCTTTACCTGTACACTGTTCATCCTTCCGTTTTGACTTTATTCATTTGCACATAGAATTTCACTTCTAATTCACGGTGACCATTGCCGCTCCCGTGGCCAGTCTTTTCATCCTCTTCATTTGCACATCGAAACTTGTAGAAAGCACTTCTTTGACTTTTGGTTGGGTTCTCATTCAGTTATCAGAACGTCGGCGAGAAACTCGGTCAGTTCACCAAGGCAGTCTCCGAGAACAGTTTGTAAGTACAACAGTAAGAATCGATTCCTCGGACGCGAGTCAAAGTTTCTTCTGAGTGGCATCGAGAGACGCAGCGAAATAGCAAAGAAAGCCAGAGGGAATGAATTACTTTAACGTACGGGCCATTTATTTACTCGGCTTTTATCCTTACGCGCTTTGAATATATGGATCGAGCTGATTTTTATTTCTTTGCAAAGAAACTTTGAGTCGCAGCATGTTTTACTTATCGACAGTTATTTTTTATTGTTGATCCGCGTTCTTATCGTTGCACGGAAAGATACGTTTGGCTTTCTTTTAATTCTAACCTACAGCATCTTTCACAGTCGACCCTTTAAGACTTACCGCTATTGTCAAGGCGTACCGACGATCGACCAGTAACGCTCAGAGCCTGCTGCAATTTTATCTCGTTGTCAGTGAAACGCAGCTGAAGCAATTTTGTATCAACTTCGTTAAGACGATTCTCAGTTTTCAAGAAAGCTCAAGGAACTCTGCCGATCGCAGTGCTTTATAGGTTAACAGCCAATTATTCTACGGCGTAATTAATGATCGGACCGTTCGTTACGCATAATCGAGTTTCTACGGTGGTAGGAGAAATTACATGTGGATATATTCACGGGTTAAATCGTGGCCTCCGAACCGTAACGTCGATTACACCGTGGTATTGTGCAAATGGTGAATGCGAATACAAGTTTTTGCCCGAGACAGTCGCTTTTATCGCGGTGCCGCCTGTGCGGCGAAACGCCTACATTGCCTTTACGAAAAATTCATCCTAGAAGCAGATCCTAGCGTATGGATATGGATATAATAATTATGGAGTCTGTACTGTAATAGAATTTGTATTTGTAATAGCGGGCTGTTGACAATTTTTGGAGATTTAAGCAAATCCAAGTAATCGCTCTGTCAAAAAGTTTTTATTCTTTTCATTCGATAGGTCCTTGACTCAATGCACTATTATTATTAGCAATCTATATTTGGGTCTACTCCATTCTTCTGGTAAATGTCAAGAACACGTTTTGAACCTTTTTTTTATAATTTATAGTTTTGTCTTTATTGTCGTCGCGCGCAATTGACTTCAGGCAAACTTAAGAGTCGTGTGGCTCGCTATTTTGAAATAGTAATACTCCACGCTTCTGGTAGACATTGCAGAGATTCGTTTGTACAGCGTAAATACAGTCAGACAAGGCAAACTTACCAAGGCAAATATGTATAGCAGGCGATACCTTGTTGATACTTGTACAATAGATACTGCTGCTACTAACAAACCCGCTTACTGTTGCAAAAGCAATGCCATGCTAATCTTAGGGACAGCGATTAACATTATAGAACTGTCTTACTTAAAAAATATTTGAATTTTGAATTTTTCTCCATTTTTAATGTGTACTTAGCATGTAAAACTTTGTATTGTGCAGTTTCCAGAAAACGGAGACTGCCCTGAAGAGCACCGCCGAGAAGACTACCAGCATCTTGGGTGGGTTTGGCAGTGGACTTTCCATGAAGTTAGGACAGATGCGTAACTCTGAGAGCTTCCGGTCCCTGGAGGAGAGGGTTGGCTCCGCTTATGAGAACGTCAAGGTAAGATCTTTTTCTGGGAGGGATATTATAGACTGAATATTCCTAAGGAGAAAGAGGATTGGTATTTATTGCTTTCCTTGCTTCTTTTGCAGACTAAAGTCGTGCCATCCAGATCCAATTCCACTCAGAGCTTCGACGAAGCTCTAAGGGAAGCTGAAGCGACGAGACGAGCATCTGCTGCACCTTCTGCTACCAGCCCGACCATTCCTGAAGACAAGCTGCTTTCTTAGAATCTGCCTCAAGCCAGCTACATCTTCGTCCTCAATGTCCTTCGTATCCAATACGTCCAATACATCCTGTACGTGTGATCAATTGTGATCCTTGAACCTTGATCCTTAGATCACTCTTGTCTCCATACTCCCTACAAGAAATTCCTCTGCCCGTTGGGGATGCAAATTGAATTTACACAATGTCCAAAAATTCTTGGCATTGTTCGACAGAAGTTTTCACGTAACGACCGCTGATAACAGCTCTCGTGATAAGATCGAATGAATTATCCACTTACTACGCCTATTCTTTCTTCTTATTTCTAATAATCGTTCAGGGTGGACATTTAGTTGTTAAAAAACATGCATAACTAATTTCTAGATCTTTTCACAGTGTCGGCATCACTGCTTGGCATTTTCTTTTTAAGTTGACATTTTAAATATGCACCATTTATTTATTGGAAAACGTTATCGATCACACGTCTCATCGTATCAGTATGTTGTACGTTTACCACAGTACGGATTCTGCAAATAATTTTGTCTCGGCCTACCACGTTTCGCACGAACCTCACTTGCCTCTTGGTAACGAAAAGTTGGTCGCATCTTGCGTTAAATAATGAAACTGTCGAAATATTGGAATTTCGCAAGCGGGAGCTCCCCCGTCCTCTGACAATATTAATACTTTGATCTACATTCGAGTCTAGAATTGCGTGTCCAGAATCGAAGAGAAAGACACGGCTAACGAGATCACCTAGAAAAACTATCTATACGTTTAACGAAGTGAAAATCTTACTGTGACATTCGCGAATAAATTTACTTACTTAATCGTTACTCGAAGACTTGGCTCACTGGGGTGAATCCTCAAGACAGCCTCATCCGCCCAGGCTGTAATTCTACGCCGGGAACAACCTCCACGAGGACATCCACCCCACGTGTCCGTCACGTTGATCCGAGTCGCTCTAATAAAACTCGTGTTCTTCTTACGCTTCGGAGACTCGAGGAATGTTGCGGCCTAAGAACCGGGATGACCTTAGACCTCCTCGAGAATCGTCGAAGTTTTACGATCACCGGTATTTTCGTCGATATCGATTTAGAGTACGGCTTCCTTGGCGGACCCGATGAGAAGATCGGTAATAGAAATTTTATTGCGGCAACCAAACGAAAGAGGAAGGACGTGCAAGAGGAAGAATGTGATTTAATCGTCACTTTGCGGTTCAAAGAAACCCAGTTGAATGGCTCGCAACGTTTCTCGTATCCCGTCACTGTCGAGCCTTAAGATGAATATATTTTAAGCACTGGAGACTATATTATATATTGAATTGTGCGACGAATACAAGAGCAACGCGATATTTTCTAATTAGCTGTTACGAGTTATATTGTACCGCCGGACGCGTAGCGTCCAGCTCGACTTCTAAGCGTGATGAATGAAATTTACGGATATATGGAAACGCATTAGGATTTTTGTTTTTTCGGTGGCTGGCGCATCAGCTCATCATTTATCGGCGTTGTATGTTTATAACACTCCGCCACTGTAAACACTTGAATTTACGCGAAGCCTCGCGCGAGCTATGAGAATTTTATCGAGCCTGATGTCGATTGTTGCGGATAGATTACTTAAAAGTTAATTTTTCGAGCGTACTTTCAATCGTCCACATTAATGCCTGTGTAATCGCTGTATAATCGTATTGATATTGGTAAATAAATTATTTCTTCAAGCGCTATACCCATTCCTGCGTCTGAAATTACATTTAGGTTCTGGATAAGATTTTTTTTTTCCTTGTTAAACTGTGCAAGGGCGCCAAGTTCAAAACTGGATCCGCAAAAAGTAAAATTGACACGGGATCCAATTATTCAAATGGAACTTTCGATTTTCTAAGTGACTCCTCACTGCCAGGTACTTACTCATTCCTATGGCATAGGATATACGTGCATGGATCGGAGTGATTGGTTCGCTTGTCTATTTTTTTTTTTTTTTTTTTTTTTTTATAAAAAAAA